CCAGTTTATTTACCCGCTGACGCGTCAGGTTCGGCCGATCACAGCCCCCCACTGGCCACAGTTTGCCATCCCGGGCCAATGGGGGCAGCGGGAAGCGGCGCGGGCGAGGGATGTGCTGGCCGCAGCTTCCTGCCGCCTCCATTGGCCCGGGACGGCGAACTGCGGTCAGTGGGGGCCACGATCAACCGAACCTGCCGCATCAGCAGGTAAATAAACTGGCCCGGCCCACTAGGGTGCTTACCCTGGCGAGCCGCGTGCCAAATGTTGCCGACCCCTGGACTAGACAATGGTCCATCTAGTCCAGTATTCTATCTCTAACTATGGTGAGTACCAGATGCTTCAAAGAAAGGTTCAAGAAACCTGATAGTGGACAATTATGGAATAACTTGCCCAATAGAAAAGTTTTGTGGGTTATTTTTGTTTGTTTTTGTTTTTTGCAAATCCTGTCAAATCATCAGTTTGTTTATGATGTGAAGTAAGAGTGTTTTATATGGGCAATTTTATTTTTATCCTACAGTGCTTGACAAAACTGTAAATGACCAGTAGATTGCTCACTGTTTTATCTACAGTTCAGCTTGTATTATCCCTCTCTCTAGTTTGTCTCATATATTTCTTCCAAAGTAATAATTTCATTTTAAAGAATGCACAAAATACACAAAAATTCCACTGTCGACATTCTCTTGGACTCAGATTGGTGTGGTAAACTCAAAAGAATTAAAACCAACAAAAACCTTAGGGGCTTTGTTTGCATCAAATGAAATCCATTTTTATTTATTTATTAAATTCTGTTTGAGAAGCATGGCCTCGGAAACAGCAGGGAGAATTATTGTCTGACTCTTTAGATCAATGAGTCACTTCAAGACCACATCAGAGAGAAAAATTATGAACTTAATTTCATAAAATCCATAACAACTTGCACTTCATTTTTTATAAAATAAAGTTACCATTACCAGTAAAATAACATTGGTCAAAGCAGAATCTCCTTTATTTAAAATGCATTCTTATTTAAAGATAGTGGAATCCTCTGACACCAAATTATTTCCCTCCCCAACAGAACAACTTCACTGTAAGTGAAACTGCTACTTTACACTGCAATGCAACTAAACAATTTAACATTTATTCTAAATCACTCGAAATTCGATTTTATTGGATCATTTGTGTATACAAAGATTCTTTTGAATATAATTTCCTTTAACCCCAAGATTGCTGCTGCCTTTTCAGTCAGTTGGTTGGCCATGAACTCAGTAATGTAAATAATTTATAAAGGACTTAATGCAAATTGGCTATTTGTGTGCACAAAGAAAGAGATGCTGAGGGATGTTTGTCTGACAACTGCAGCCTCTTCTGCCATTGTATGTTTTAGCAAGGAGCCAAGAATGAGGGGTGGAACACTGCAAACACCGGGGTTCTAAAGAGTGACCCAGGGACATCTGAGCCATGGATGGGGGTTATGAGGCAATGGAGATCTGGAGAGTAACCCAGAGAAGAAGTGCAGGTGTACAGGGGCCAAGAGAAGATTCTGGGCTTTGGAGAGGCTTGTGCAAACACCAGGGCTCTGAAGGTGGAGAGTGCATAATTTGGAGAATATATAAGAACTTTTACTACTATCCATGTGAGCAACTATCAACACTGAAATAACACTTCTTTACAAACCTAAGAAATTCCTCAAACAAAAAGCTTTATTAAAAAATCAGTTAGAGGTGTTTTAGAGTATATTTCACCAACCCAGATTCATAAAGCTATGAAATCACTACTTAAGTCTCACGCAACCCATAGAACCTTCAAACATGATTTTACTTTCTTCATATTATATCACTTGCATACACTACCCTCAACAAATGACTACTCCCCTCCTATGCCTCACAAAACATGCAATTTGGACTCTGAACACAAATAACTACTGAAAACAGAAAATAGTACCATACTGCCTCATTAATCACATAAATAGTGTTACAAGATTTCAAAATAGTAACTTCCAAACATGACAGACAATTTTACAAACTATTTCCACTTTTAAAAATATTCCCTGTACTAACAGTCATCCAAGACTCTCATGCATAACTAAAAATTTACACCATAAAAACTAATCAAATATTTTAATACAATATTCAACAGTTTGAGCAATTGACAAACATCCAATTGTAACCACTTTGTGTGGTTAGAGTTGAAGTTTACACATGATGTGTAGAAGAGGAGGGCAGGGAACGTGGATAAAATAATATGGAGAATGAGCAATCATTAGCATACATACATAGGACTGGGTAAGGAAGTTACTAGGTAAATCCTGACTTTTTATATTGTGTTGGTAGTTTATGCACTTCAGCAACTCTAACCCATTTTTAATTATTTTTTTTGTTAAAAGGTTAAATATTTGTCACTACAATGGGTGTGGTATAAGACTACATATATGGTCCCTCCTCCCTCCACTTTATATATATATAATATATATATAAAGTGGAGGGAGGAGGGACTATACATACATACACCCACACACATATAATAATGTATGATACAAATAATCCATACATATGCGCATGCGCGCGCACACACAAAATTAGAAATGTTCATATATATCATTATTATCCCTGGGAACAGATTTATAATACAAGTGAGGAAGGAAAGTAAGACCTTCAAATTCTGTAAAGATTTTATATTACCCAATATACTATGTTCATATGCTGCCCTCATGCTGCACACAATAAAAAATGCAAAAATACTTTTAAAATATATCATTGAGCAGAAAATAGAGCATGTCTTTAATTATTAACATAATACTTGCTCAGGTAAAGTGTCTAACTACATTGTAATATTTTGAAAAAAAATCAAAGAAAAAATTACTTACAATAACATTAGTAGGAACTTCCCGGAGAGAATATTCTGGTTTATTTGGTATCTCCTGATCACCTATCAGTTCATAAATAGCAGGATAGGATAGCAAATTTACCAGCGCTAGAAAAGACTTAAAAAAAAAAAAAGTTAGCTCCTGTGAACTTTTGTATTTATATAACCAAACATTTGATAGCATTTAATTGGCAGTTAATTAAAACAATGTAAAGAAGTTAGGCCCAGGTCTCAGCCTCACCCTGCTCTGCAGTGTGAAGTTTAAACAGGCAGAGCTGCCCAACAAAACAGATGTGGCACATTACTCATATACTCATGAGAGATACATGTATGCTAGCATAAGGGTAGTGCCCATGCACCTTGTGAGAACTGTGTGAACTGATGGGCTGTCACATTGCAGAAGCGAATGGCCCAGTGAAAGTTGAGAATTCTTCTATGGGTCTGAATGAAGTACAATTCTGACAATAAATGTTGAATGATTTTTGAATGCTATACTACTTATATCATCACATACTTGTAAAATTTGGTGGTTTAGATCATCTTGAACTGGTAGTTGTAACGCATTCTAAGACAAAGTAAACGTTATCAGAAAGAGAACTTTCCACTTGAAAGAATGTAACCTCATGTAAATCAAACTAACTGAATATCAAATATAAAATCCAATCATATTCCATCTAAAATATTAGCCAATTTAGGTATACATTTATATGCTGTTCTACAACACTGTTTATAAATCTCAATTTATGCTATTATAAGAACTTATTTGGTCAAGATGATCCTCTATATCACTCTTTTTATGATATTGTTTTAAATTGACTTTAAGTGACCCTTGCAATTGTGACCCTCCATATAACACAGGAACCTATTTCATTCAGTCATTGTTTTGCTTGTTGTACTACACCAATTTTGCCTTAAGTGGCTAAATTGGAAGCAATGCTGATGAAATGTCTCATTTAGGATATTAATGAAACCACCTGTGTATTTATACACAGTAGTAACAAATTGCACAAAATAATATAATTTCTCACCTTCTGACAGCTTCGGTCAATAGGATCTACTGGAGTAGAACTGGGGTGAGTTACTCTAAGATCATCTCTTCCACACTCCAGAACAGCCCATAATTCAGTTATAAGTGCTTTTATAAACCCTAAAATTTAATGTTTGATTTAGTCACAAAAATGCTTAATAAAACAAGTAAAATAAAACTCAAAACTCTATACAATGTGGATACAAATCTTAAAAAGAGATTGCCTCAGGGACTACTCTCCTTTTCTATCCATAATATGGTAGGTACACCACCATCCTTCCCACTGATGATCAAATAACATCATTAGGACAACTACAGCAACTCTTTACAAGGGAAAGTAATGTTACTGTAGGTAATATATTTTTCCATTTTTGTTTGTTTGATTGATTTTAAGCGATTAAGTAGCTGGAAACAAAGAAGACCCAGTATTTTGTCACAAACTAGCTCTTATAGACCACAATTTGGGAACCATATATTATACAATATCATTGATTCTAAAGACACAGGATTTAAGACAACTTGTCTGGAAACAACTCACTTGCACTTGCATAATAAAGTAAACTAGATTTACCTAAAGAGAGAGTAGTTTTGCACAGCTGCCTGTGCGCAGTCTACTGTAATATACAGAGTCGGATTTAGGGGCAGGCTATCCAGGCAACCGCCTGGGGTGCCGGGCTTTGGGGGCATCGTGCTTGGGGTGCTGTTTTTGTCGTTAGCAACAAAAGGAAAAATAGAAGGTTTGAAGTAAAATATTTCAGGTATTCAGCTTGTGAATTAATTTTTCACTAACTACCTAGAATGTTTTGGACCTTTGTAGACTCTCGTGGAACCTTCCAGACTTTCTGAGAACTACATTTTCCTTGACCCTCCTAGAATGTTGTCAGCCATGCCCTTGCAGGTATATAATGGACAGAGCATTGCCAATCAGTCAATGAGATATAAGAATGAAGTGAGAGCCCAGTTGCGACATTGCAAACCTTGTTTTATTGTGCAATTGTGAAAGTGTACTTGTGTTTTAAGACTTGAAGAGTGTAAGTAGTGATTAATAAAGGACATATCTATCGAACCCCTATCTATGCAACAATGTAAAAGAAATATTGTTATTTCTTTTGCCATGCTTACCATGTAATGTTTGATTACTTTCTAAGACTGCAGAACACAGACTTTTGCTCTCCCTAATACGGACCATTTTCCCCCCATAGAAAATAAAAGATGCCCCTGAAGAAGCCTTCAGGAGCTCATTATAGGAAGTTAAAAGCTCAATTGCAATCTAGTTTGCAGCAATGGACAAATTTTATAGGAAAATATCTGAAATAAAACACCACAGACTGAGCTTTAGGCAGTAGCAATCATCCCAGTGCAGAAGAAATTGAGAAGTGAAGCGTAAATTATGGAAGTCCTATTAGTAAGGAATTAGCAGATTTACTTGAAGATAAGGAATGGAAATGTGAGGAAAGTGATGGAGAATCATCCAGTTTTCCTGGCAACATAAAGGAGAGTGATGATAGAGAAAAATCTGTTTTACATGAAAAGGAGAGGAACGATAAAGTAGAATCAGCCTTGCATGATGACAGAAACAGAAGTGAGAAAAACTGCACATCATAAATCAATACATCAGATCCTGCTTTATGACCAGCAATTCTAAAATCTCCCGATATTGATCACAGAATATCGAATGAGGGTATGATGTTTCCAGTAAATGACAGAAGCAACACTTCTCAAAGTCAGATAAGTTGTTCATTGAACACAATGGTAATTTTCTCAGTTTGGTAGAACTCCTGGAGAAGTATGAGGATGTCATGCGTGAACACCAATGTCAAGTAGTTTGTAAAGAAGATGTGGAGCATTACTGCAGCAAAACAATTGAAAACTGATTGATTGACTTTATGGTAAGGCAGGTGCTTGATAACATATTGATGCGGCTTGGCAAAGCAAAGTACTACGCAGTAATAATGAACTGCATTCCCGACATTAGTCAGAGTAAAAAGATGTCATTTACAGTAAGTTAACATTTGTTAACAAGGATGGCTGTATACAAGAAAAGGAAGGTTTTATCTGTTTCTGGTCTGTGGACGACTCTACTGGAAAAGGCCTAACAGAACTGTTTATGAACATTTTGAACAAGAATAAAGCTTCAGGACTGCCACAGCCAAGGCTACGACAACAGCGTAAACATGAAGGGAAGAAACAGTGGCATCCAGGCAAAGATCCTTATGTTGAATCCAAGAGCTTTTTCTTCATGCCTTGTGGCTGCCATTCCCGCAACCTGACTGTGTCAGATGCAGCATCATCTTCGTTAAATTCAATATCTCTTCGGAGTACTGCAAAGGATATACATCTTGTTTTCAGCATTAACTATCAGGTAGTAGATCCTCATGGACAATGTTACAAATCTGACTGGGAAGTCAGTAAGTGACACTCACTGGGAGAGCCATATTGACAGTGAGGTACCAAATGACTGAGGTTTATGATGCTCTGATGGAACTGATGCAGTTAAGTAAAGCTGTGGCCAGAATCCGACACAAGATGCAAAGGTCGACAAGAGATTGACGTCACTTGTTATTTTATTGCTTGAAATGCCATTGGCCAATCTTTGGAACTCTCTGACACTGTGCTTCAGTGTGCAAGGGCAAAGGCGAGAAAAGTGACCTTTTGAACTAAAGGACTAGGGTTAACATTCTAAGGTTGTCACCTACCGTAACACTATTTAATACTGGTCCACCCAGTGCTGGTGCACAGTTCAATTTCTTTATGTTAGTACATTTCAGTTATTCTTAATATTAAAGTTTCTATAAGCTTAGAGGAAACCAATTTATTTTTTATTTTCTTAGATATGACATGAATAAATACGGATTTACAGTGTGCAAATTTATCATCTTATCTGCCAGGGATAAATCATGCATGCAAATTGTGCATCAAAGTCGTGAAATAGGCTACAACTGCAATAAAAAATAAGTTATTCAAAAGTTTAAAAAATGGAGGGGGGACGCCAAAGATGCTCCTCACCTGCAACGTCATATGGTCTAGGGCTAGTCCTGCTAATGTATATTGCTAGCTGATTGTAAAATATGTTAAGAAATCTTATCAATATATATCTTCAAATGAAAATTAAGGGAAAGATAAATAAGAAATATATATCTTCTGAGTACTGTCTACTGTAAATGATAGGCTGATATTTATGACCTCAATCATGTTTGTATAAATGCCTTCTAGTGGGGTGAAGATCTGTGCTGATTCTTTCAGGTATTTCACCTGCCTTCAATATCATTAACCATAGGATGTGTCCTGTCTGCGGACCATAGTAGGACAGAAGGAGTCACTCAAGTTAATCTGTTTCTCATTTCCTGAGAGACTCCAGAAAGTAGTAGCAGATTTTTTTTTTCCAAATCAGCCACAAGGTTTCTCTTATGTAACATACCATAGGGCTCCATTCTGTTGTGCAGGAACTGAAATATGTTCAGATCATTTTAAAAGATTAATGAGAAAATTGGAGCTGTTGTGTCTTCAGTATGAGGACTAGCTGGCTGAAACTGAACTAAGAACAGACTGAAATAAAGCTTGTGGTTTAGGGACAAACTGAAGAACTGGTAGAGATTATTTCAACTTCATTCATTGGTGGAGTTTGCCTGTCATACTTTTTGCCATCTTAATTACTTCCCCCAACTGATTCTGGATGAACAAACAGAACAGTTGCCAGACAGTTCCATAATCTACTCTGGTTGCAATTTAAGTTATCAGTTTTAATCTTTGAAACACTACATGATTTAGGTGCAGGATATTTGAGCTGTGGTGCCAGTCCCTGGTTTAACTTGGAGAAGCTTTCTGGCACAGCATTTTTAGTGAAGAATTCTTGATTCTGGAACTCATTTCCTCACCAATCAGTGGTCCTAAAGAGCTAGAGTTTGTTGATGTTCAGACCTATCCATCTTCCGAGGCTTTTGAGAAGTGAGTGAGTCATGAAGATGGTATATCAGTTAAAGAAGCTGGTATTTATTAATTATGATTAGTTGATGAATGAGGAAGGTTTGTGATTTATTACCAGTTTATTTTGTAACATTCATTAATGTATTCATGCATTTAGGTGAAAGGATAGATACATTTCTTTGAAATCAAAACAAATGAAAAAAAAAAGAGGAACATTCTTTTACTATGCTATCTTAGTTTTGTTTCACAGAATATACAAGATCATATTCTTCCATCTGCAAAAACTTAATGCATAAGGCATTTCTGTACTTAAGAAAAAAACATTTAAAAGAATAATTTTCCACCAAAAAATCAGCAGGCTCCAAACTAGTCATTACTAGTATTGCATATCTATCTTAATCACATCTGACTTTATTTTGTTTAGAATTCTATTATTTTAATTCATGATATTACAATGTGTTAGTGCCTATGATAAAGTTCACCCTTAAAATTACCTGAACGCTGCAGAGCTACTGCACCTGGAGATGTCGCTGCCATTTGTGTAACCATCACTCCATAACTAAACCTTTCACATCCACTCACCTATTCATAATAAATGTAAGAGATAAAAGAAGTTTGGAGAATACAACCAAGACATTCATATTCTCAAATGTTCTCTTATGTATTTTGACTTGTTCCCTGCAGAACTTTAATTTCTGTAAACAAATGTATCTAGACCAATCAGGGTCAGATTACAACACAAGCATGTTTGTTTAGCCAGTAAAGGAATCTCTCCCTTTGCTATTTCAAAGTATAAATAGCATAATATAAAGCATGTGCAACTTCAGCACATAGAATAACAACTTTTTAAGACTATAACCTTCCAAATCCTTTGCACCCACCGATTAAGACTAGGGGGCACAAAACCTTTTAAAAATCCATGTGATAACATATTTTGCCTCCATAATTGAATAATTCCCTATGTAATTTGATGTCTGGCATGTTAGATCTTGCTGTTTTACTGGCAACCACTGTACATGTATTTCAATGTACATACATCACTGAGCACTGGTCTGACTAAGGATTAGGTCCCAAAATTAAATGTAGTGTAAAAAGTATCCTTTTGCTTAACATTTTGAGCTAAAAAGTAACAGTGATAATATGACATTAGTATTGACATTTTGCAGAATAACAACTAAAATAAAATCAATGCACCATACATTTAGAATGTCAGATTACATTTTAACTCAACTCTTCCAATAAGATAACAGCTAAACAATGGTTTATGGTTTTCCCTTCTAATTACCTTAATTAAATAAGTGATTATACTAGACTCTGACATGCCTACCTGGCGTTTTTTTGAGAATCTGCTGAACATAAAGGTTACACATTCATTGAGGGCTCCTGTATTCTGAAGCAGAAGAAGACCTTTTGGAGTAGCAGCAAAGTTTAATAAATCATCTAGTAAAGTCTCTTCCCATACCATACTGAAAATGATAGAAAAATAAAATGAATAAAAAAAGATTTAAAAATAAAAGTAGTGAAAAGCAAGAGAAAATATAAACTTTTCAGGTTAAAAAAAAATCTACCTTTCACTGGACCTATGTGTATGGTAGCAAGTTAAACTACTTCTTGGGGGTTAAACTATGTACAGAACAGCTGCACGGTATACAAATACTGCATCGAAATTCGAGATCACAGAAGAGATCTCACATGGTGAGATAGGATGATCTAGTGGATAGATAACATGACCAAGAGCCAGAAGACTTGGGCTCTAATTCTCAAATCTACTGCTGACTTACTGTGTGACTTTGGGTAAGTCACCTCTCAGTGTCTCAATTTCCCCATCTGTAAAGTGGGAATAAGATTGCTTTCTCCCCACTGTAAAGCATATTGAGAGCTACAGTTAAAAGCACTATATAACTGCAAAATATTATTAAAACTGTTTTGTAGGTGTTATATACTAGACATGAAACAATGCTAGAAAATGGGGGCGCTGTTTATGAAAATGAGGTGCTGTTACATACAATAACCCACATCTGGGTAAGCATATGTGCATTCTTTCCAAACTATTAAAATGTGTCCACTGGAGTCCAGATACTAGTGACTCCATGTCCAGTGAGAAACATTATATATATATATATGAATTGGTAGGGTGATGGGGAAAAGGTGACTATTAGAAGCAAGCGTGAACACACCCAAACTGTCCTCTACCCAAGAAAGAGAAGCCCAGCATTGAAACGATCTCTCACTAGAGAGATCTCTCACCATGGGATTCACCTTGTAATCCGGATTCCCTGAACACATTGCCTTACTGGATTCTCATTTCTGGGTCTGAGCTCCCTTGGTGGATGTTTGATTCCCACCAGCAGCAGTGACAGATATAAGCAGAAACCCCACTTCCAACAATGGTCAAACACCATCCTAGACTTTAGCCACTGTACCTAAAATCTTGAAGTTATTTCTTGTTTAGTGGGAAGCAAAAGCCTCTTATTCCATAAAAAAATGTCAAATTCAGCAGTTAGGAAGGGATTGTAGTTTATAATTCACTGAAATTAACTATTGATAGGCATCTCCAGCAGAGCACTTCGTATAGGGTTCCCTTACTCAACACTGATTTAAAGTCACTACAGTCACTTCACAAAAGGGAAAAAAATAAACCAACAACAAATATTGTAATTCCTATACAAATTACATATGGAAGCTTTTAGAAACTATACCACAGCAATTAAAAGGAAAAGAAAGACACACATAAGTCTATCGACAATGTTTAATTACATATTTTTATACCCCACATTCACATGCAATATAGAGTTCATGTATTTCTTACCATGTAAAACTTAACATATAAACAACTACTGGGGAAATGAAGTTTGCATTAACATCAAAGGAGAGATGTCTTTTCTCTCACTGTGTGACAGGCTTTCAGTCAGTATTCTGGTAATCTCCCTATATGATGTTTTGAAGGCATTGATGGTATTCTACAAAACAGGATTTTTAACTAATAACACAATCAAAGCCATGAGAGAAAAACTGTCAGCTATTTTGTTTTACATCTTTTAATTCATATTTTCCCAGACAATTTTTGATAGACAGCATATTATGAGCCACATAGACAGCAAATTATGAGCCAAATCTATATAGAACTTAGTATAACTACACAGAGCTTGGAAGAACTTCATAACTCAAAAAAGTTATGACCCCTGTGCTAGGAAGGTCTAAAATGAGAAACCTCCGCTCAAGATATGTACCTTCTTGTAGCTACCAACCTGCTCTTAGCAAAAGCCTAAGAAAACAGATGGGCCTAATAACTGTCCTGAAGGTCAACAAATCTGGGCTGCAGTGGACTTGTGTATTTTACCCAAATATTAATAGACCCAGCAGTACTTACATGTTTTGTGACTCTTGATTTCCTGATGAAATGGAGTCTGCCCCAGGTACAGGAGTAGGAATCCTTTCTGAAAGTGAACTAGCCTATGAAATAAAAAATATAGTTATTATTACATCATTCTTAGAAGTCCTGACTACCACTAACAAAAATGATGGAAGGATGGTCCAGTGGTTAGGGCATTAGCCTGGCATTTGGGAGATCTGAATTCAATTTCCTGCTCGGTCAACAGGATTCCCATGTGCCTGTACACAAGGCACTTAAGGACAAATTTTAAAAGGTATTTAGGATTCTATCTGCAACTTTAGGTACCTAAATACCTTTACAAATCTGGCCCTTAGTCTCTGTGTGTCACAGATTCCCATATGTAAAATGGGGATAAATAGTCCTTCCCTGCTTCACAGGGGTATTGTGAGGATAAAGACATTAAAGATTCTGAGGCACTCAGCTACTATAGTAATGAGCCATATAAGTGCCTCAGTTAGATAAAATAAAAAAAGATTATATGAAATAAATCCTGAATATGTTTTAAAGGGAATATATTTCAAGGTGACACTATAATTTCTGTTAATAAAATATAGTTTTATTATGGACCTTTCTTTCATAGTTTTTCAATTACTTGACTATTTTTTAAATGACAGTAGCAAAAAAACAAAAACAAAAACTGCTCACTGTAGTACGTGCTTCTGTAGTGGGGAATTACATTGTAATTCTGCTTCTCTAAGTATGTCATTCTAGTAGGAGTCTCACTCCTGGGTCTCAGCTCCTTCGTGTGAGCCAAGCAGAACTTCCCAAGTTTTTGAGGGGTTTTTTGGTCAGTGGTAGCTGATGGAAGCACAAGTCACTACCCCAGCTACTAATGACTGAACATTAACTCTTGAAACCTCCTCATCATCTTGACCATAGTCAGCAAGGAGTAATTCACCCAAACAGTGCTACTCCAATCACCATTCCAACTTCAACCCATCCAACATCATTTGGATATGATATGCTGTACTCAGAGTCCCTCCTTTCCAGTTAGGTCTGTTTCTTTTTATTATGTTTTTCCCAAAGCTCTTTTGTCACAATTGACCCAGAAATGTAAATGAGGCCGTGGTCTCCAAATAACCTTTGACTCTTCAATCAGGCCTTTTTTAATGTCCTGTAAATGTTTTTTTTTTTCTCAATGCTTTCTTTGGTTTTCTAAAAAAATCCACCAAAACTCCTATGCTTTCCTTTGACAATGGCACTGTATAATTCAAAACACGATGACTGTCACTATACTGAGATATTATCAGTACCCTTTTATGTGAGGTAAGGAAATTCAGTGTCAGGAAATAACACCTAACATTACAATATACAAAATAAAACCAAATTAATATGCTCCAAAATAAACGCTTAGATCCAGAATGTCCTGGCATATTGTGCCAGAATTCTGAATCAGAGTAGTTCAATTACATTAATAAACACCTATCTGCCAAGTTGTAAAATACTGTGGAATATTTATCAGAGGTGTGAAGATTTTAAGATTGTTAAGTAAATATTTTCTATATCACTTATTTATCAGCAGAGCGAAAAAATCCTGAAAAAAAATCTGAAAAATTGTAATTCTATTTACATATCTTATATGGTATAGAAAGAAATGCAAATAATATATTTTTCCAATCTTGCTTAAAATAAAACTACACACACTCTGAAATTTTGAAGATAACTTAGTTTTCTTTTTAATTACAAAATTTCACACACAAAAAGAAGGAACTTTTTTATTCCATTTGCATCTATGGAGATCAGTGTTCTTAACTGTAGGATACTGGTCTCTTTACTGCATATTAGCTTTGATCTGATCTGAAGTAAGAAGTACCTTCTGAATCATTGATACAAAATTAAATATATCAAACAACCCTATCAATGTTCAGAAAAAGTCAACAACTTTGATGGGGATGCTAATGTAAAAGATATCTGTTTTTTTTTTAAGAAAATACTTTATTTAAGATCAATGATTTCAGATTTTTAGGTTTTAAACAATGATGGGGATATTACACTACTTAATCAAATGATAGTGGATGTTACAGATTATATAATTTCAGATGTGTAATTTTGATGAGCATAATGAAGTTATATTGTAACATACACATGATCAAATACATCCATAATATCATTGTGTAGTATGCTATTGCTCTTTCTAGGTCTGTCAACTCTCCTTCTTTTTAATCATGCCAGCATCTGCCCCAGAATTCTACTACTGCCATATACTTGATCATGAGCACTTTTTGGTGGCTTTGCCTGCAGAGTGAAACTGTTCCTTACCTGTCTTACTGAAAAGTGCTCATGTTCAGAAGTGCAGTGCTAAAAGAGTTACTAGAGCGAACAGGTCCATTCGTTGGGAAAGAGATACCATGATCAAAATATTTGTAAGTACAAAAAATTGAGATTTATAAGTGTCCCAACGGCGAGTCCACATATTAGTATTGAGAAAAAGCTGACACATTTGGGTTATATTTTCAAACTACTTTTACAGTTTTTATTTTGGAGGGTAGTAATGGGATTCTCCCATTGCCCCACTCTTAGCAGCTGTCGGAACCTTGCAAGGATCTACAGGTTTCTTAATGCTGACACACTGTGGAAGTACTCGACATCAGATTGCACCATAAACAGAAGGGAAAAGGGAGTATTGCCCTAGCCAGGGAAACTGGGGTTTGAGCCAGACAGGTCCTGAAAGAGAGAACCCTAAAAACAGCCAACCCTGGGAAAAAGTGCTTAGGTGAGGGATGGCACCCACTGTTACTTCGGAATTACCTTTTAATAATAAACTACTCCACACAATGAGTAACCTCTTTTCACTTTATGAATAAGTAATTTCTGTTTGTTGCTGGGTGATAACTCCAACGCCTTACAAAATGGCAATGTGCTTGCCTTACTCCTAGAAACTTTTTAAAAATTATCATATTTATCCTTTAAAACCAGCAACTCCTAATTTCAGAGATGTATTACCCGTTCAAACACTTTGGTACACTACCAATGTCTGGTTTCAGAGTAGCAGCCGTGTTAGTCTGTATCCGCAAAAAGAACAGCGGTACTTGTGGCACCTTAGAGACTAACAAATTTGTTAGTCTCTAAGGTGCCACAAGTACTGCTGTTCTTTTTACCAATGTCTGGAACTCGTAGAGCTTTTTATAAGTTGAAGCTAATTTTAAGAAACCAGGAATGGAAAACTACAACGAAAAATACCCAAGATGGCGAAGCTAAAAACTCAGTTTGCTTTACTAGTTTATTCAGTTCATTAGGGATGAACATAGGGCACATTCACTCTGTAATCTCTACTTGGCCTCTGATGTGGGATACAGGAACAGCAGTTATATCACAGTTATATGTTTGATGGATTTTTCATTCTCAGTATTCTTCATATTCATCTTCTGCACGTCAAATTTAGGTTTTTTGTCCAAATGATGTTCTGTGCTATGACAAGAGAATTTAATGTGCATATAGGTTGTATGTATGCCTAGCTATATCACTTGTAGCACTTCATCACAGCAGGTAATTGAAAATGCCCATCAAAAGCTTGCAAGATTTTATATATCGTAAAAATTAAATAAAGTAAGACAGACTGTTTAAGCTAGAGTGAATAGCATCCTCATCACAAGGATAGACAACTTGCTGAGTTACATAAATTACAGCACAATACATGTAAACTAGTTCACTGAAGTCAGCAGAATTCTAGTCCAGCGTTCTCAATGCAACAGACAGCACTAGCTTCAAGATCAACTTTGTGCAATTAGAAATCTAATTTATCATTATAAAATTGAGATTCTGGTAATAACTTATTTTATTTTCACTATTTTGAATAATTAACCTTTGCCTTTCACTGCAGTACCTGTGCGCAACAGGGGCAGGAAATATCCAAAATAAACTTATGATTCAAAGTATCTCTTATTCAGACTTTAGATTACTGTAAATGAATGCTTAAATTTGGATTTGTGACTGTTTATATTACTTTAAATTATTACTTAATTAATATTGCACACACATATATATTATATTCACATTAATCATAGGTTGTATATACAGTAATGTAGTGGAAGCCGTAGCTGTTCCATTCTAACTCCTCTCTTCCCCACATTTTCAGTCTCATATCTTTCTGAAAATTTAACCTTAAAGCCTTTTTTTTTTTCAGGGCTGGGCTGGTTTCTGTCTCTAAGTTAATATTTTGGGAACATTTGAGCCAAAATATTCCATTCATTTTTGAGCATGAAGGAAAAGAAAAAATTCCACCACTTTCCCAATTGAAATATTTCAATGACTTACTTGAAATCAACTCTAGCTTCAAAGTGCTTGAGAGAAGAAAATTGAAATTTAGCATGAAAATCATCTTCATCCTCTTAAACATTTGTTTTGACTTAACTAAGTTAAGAATGGTTTGACAACTGCACTCTCAGAATGTGCAACAAATGTTTTTTTTTTCTTTTCACGACTATGCTAAGCTCACAACATGCTTAGATAAGAACATGTAGCTCATGTGTGTATGACTAGCCTATCTGAGCAACGAAAATATTAATGAATGAATAGGCAGGGTCATCCCTACCCATACGCGAAGTACACAGTTGCATAGGGCACCAGGAAATTTGGGGCACCAAATTTCCTGGGGCACCAAATTTCCTGGTGCCCTACGCAGCTGTGTGCGGCTCCAGCCCCTGCTCTGCCCCAGTCCCGCCCCTTCCCCAAAGCCCCCGCCCCTGCTCTGCCCCGCCTCTTCCCACCTCTGCTCCGCCTCAGTCCCGCTCCTGCTCCACCCCTTCCCCAAAGCCCCTGCCCCGCCTCATCCTGCCCCTGCTCCGCCCCAGCCCCGCCCCCACTCCTCTAAGGACTGCAGCAGGTGGCAGGCCTGCACTCACCAGCGGCGGGAAATGCAGCGACCCAGCCCCAGCCGCGCCACCAGTGAATTCTGGGGGGCAGTTGCCCCCTGCCCTCCCCAAGGCTGAGAGCCAGGGGATCAGAGTGGAGTGGGCTGGGGCCGAGTTGCTCCACTTCCCGCCGCCCCGTGAGTACGGGGACAGGCCTGCCCTGCACTCAACGGGCGGAAGGAAGTGGAGCAACCCGGCCCCATCCCGCCCCGCTCCGGCGGCTTGTGCTGGGGGGGCGGTTCCCCCCCTGCTCCCCAAGCCTGCTCCTGCCACCCCCCCCGTGGAGGCCTCGCCCCCCCCCCCCCCACACACACACACACACACCA